TTAACATAAACCTGCAAGAGTTACGGACACGTGACCTTATCCACACAGCACTTTACAGATGTACATGAGGTCAGCAATTGGTCAAATGTGCCAGGCAGTTACTCTCCAAGCAGAGGTTTGGGTTTGGGGTTATTTTTGGCGTGTTTTTTGGCTTTTTTATCGGGGTTTTTCTTTTGCACTGGAATGGGTTGGGTGAAAAAAAAATCCAGTGCAAAAGAGAAACCCCGATAAAAAAAAACTAAAAACACGCCAAAAATAACCCCTAACCCAAACCTCTGCTTGGAGAGTACCAGGCAGTTTATATCATCCACCGTCCCTGTTAAGTGATGGTTTGATCCTTGTGTTGGAACAAAGTTCAGCATCCGATACTATGATAACTACCAACACAGACAAACTTCCATGATGTTTCTAGGAAAAAAAGCTTTCTGTGGGCGTGAAAACGACCTTACACATTCCTACTTGCTCATTTCCTTTCAAGGTCTAACCTCTTTTGGAGATTCCTTGGTCTCCAAGGAGGCAGTTTCCTGTATGTGAACTTGAATTAGAAGTTACACCCAATATTCTAAACTACTGTAAATCACAATTTTTTTTTTACAATACTTTCATATTTATGGTTTTCTTGGCCACTTCTGTACCATGAACAAATAAGTTCCCTGACTTTGTTTCTGCACTAGCCACCACTGCGAATGTATAGTTTTGCAAATCTCTCAGATTGTGAATTTTTTGCTACCGCAAAAGTGAGATCTATTCTGCAGGAGAAAGGTCTTCCTCCTAAACATCATCAGCTACATCAAGAATACTATGTGAAACCTACAAAGGTTATGTATAAAGCTTTTTATCCCGATATGGGTTGTCACCCCATCCCACAGACCATATGGAACAGTCTGCCTCTGATATGCCATCAAAGAATTTCCCGCCAAAAAGTATGTATACATATACAGGGCGTAGAGTAGTCACGGGTTGGTGCCAATCGGCTTAATAACCACCACATACAAAACAGAAAAGCTCACAAGTATTGCAGTTGCAAGCCTTAGGTTCAAGTAATTTTACTATTAGAACAATGACAAGAAGTTGGTTTTACAAAGTGAAGGTTTAAATTGTTTTAAAATGTCTGCGTGACTTCAACCTCATTCATTTCTTGGGAACTATTCAGTGGATGCATGGTTTGAATCAGTGAGGGGATTAACAGATTACGATTGAGCACTCTCTTTTTGATTCAGCTATTTCCTATTTAAGGTCGCAGAAGCGGTACGAACACATTGTTTTGATGTCATGGAAAATCAGTGCAAGCATCCTGCACATACACAAAAATCCAATGTCAATTTGTACAAGCAAACAATTAATAGGGATTTAGATTTTCTAGTTAGTAGTTTGGCATTTGGGATGTTTTGTAAACCTTAATATGACATACGCATGCAGATGTTAAAGGGTAGCATTTGTAGATGAAGTGGATAAAGTTTCAAGTAAAAATGTATGTTAGTACTGTATTTCATTTCCAACTATGGTATACTGTAACCAAAAATTATGTCATAAACATCTGCTCAATTTCTTTTATCTGGGTGATTAATTATGGTTGATGATTATTTTATACTAAGGCCACAGCAAGTAATTCCTATGGATGACATCAATACGCGCATTAATTTTTGCCTGATTTTGGAAATAAAAACAAGAAATTTTGTTGCCATCTGACAGTGTTCAACATGCCGAAAAAAGATGTTGCCATGCCGGAACATAGATGGCAGATAAATATGATGAGAGGAGACAAGACAAGGCTCTGATTTATTCTTTTGTCTTTCATTGAGGAATCTTGTTTTTGTTAACCCTTAATTTTTTCACTCTATCGCATTAGATTTGGAGTCTGCGGAGGATGTCATCCTTAAAACTTACTTACTGTGGACTAACCAATGGCAACAAACAAAGGGCCAAAAAAGTTCATCTGTTGCAAGAACTTCGTAAGCAGATGGTAAACTACTTCTGAGCCGGTCCCCACATGCTGGCCTCTAGCCGTGGACGACTCTGTAACCCTTTTTGCATGATAATGCCGGGTACATAGTCGTGGAAAGCACCATAGGCCAAAACCAACCTTTGCCGTGCCGGGCCTCATGCAACGGGCCGGCCCCGGTTTTTTGGTGTCGCTGGCTTCCTAACGCACTCCCCTGCCGGGCCGGGGGGATAAGACCCTAAACAAACGCAG